CCACTGGGAGTGCCTGAGATGTAACGCCGTACATCTGCTTGTGATTCCAGCATCAAACGATCACTTCTTCATAAGACAAACCTGACTGCACTTGCAAAGCAATTTCGTGATCCGAGGCTTTGCCAGAAATTTCTCCAAAGTTAAATTTAATGTCACTTACGAGTCCTCCAGAGCGAAAGAACGTGGCGGAGTTAGCAACCCATTACCCCTTTCACTTGCCAAAACATGCCACATTTTCTGAGTCTATATATATACCTGAAAATACCTCTTTGCCTTATTTAAAAACAACTAATTGTTGCTATGTTTGCAACGCCTGCTAGGGAAGTGCACTTCAAACGTACGCAAGCGTACTGCCTTGCTGCCACCTTCAAATATACGTTGGGATATTACAGTCGTAATAGCAAACAAAAAGTGTGTGGGGAGGGTTGGAAGTGAAGTCGTTCTGCACCGGTCCGTGGCCTTCACTACAAAACCCAGATATCAGAGTTTGATTCCCCGCTACGGCTAACATCATCGGTGAGTGATATCTGTAAAACCAGTCCTGGGAACTACCCTTCAATTGACGTCGTAACACTAATAACAGTTACGAAAGTTAAATAGAAAAACAAAACGTCACATTAACTCAAATAAAACCTCTAAACATTGTTAAACTTTGGGAATAATTCACGTAATTAAGGTGTGAGCATTATAGCCATGTGTGGTGGCACAAGGTGCATATGATTCACCACATTGGAGGTGAGGCTTGGTGGATCACACAAGTTTGCCGGGCTGTTTGCTTTCCAGAAAATGGCAGTATAGCAAGGGGATTGAATCCATCTGTGTGGAGCTTTGTGTGATACCCCTTTGGTAGACGTCGCTTTCCTCTGGGTACGCACATGCCAGTGAAGTTGGCCAAATATCGCAATGCTTGACCCTTGTGAATTGAGTAATTTCAGATTCATCGAGGCTTTCCCGCTTAACCAAATAACGTAATTTGTTCATAACATGAGCGAGAAAAGTATTCAGACATCCATGGCACCGTGTGTGATATCATATATACTCTATGCCCCACGTAGAAGGGCACAACCAAGTAAGTATATGCAACAAGAAAAAACACAGAAAGGGCAGGAGAAACTTCAGGAAACGTTCCTTGAAGTAATATTATTTTTCGATTTAAAGGGATTCATCTTCTTGGTTCTTTCGGTAAAGTCACGTAGAAGAGAAGTAATAAAATAATAAAAATAAAACATAATAAAATAATTCCCACGACGTTTCGGCCACAACGCAAGCAGCCGTCCTCAGGTGAAGAACAGGTCTGTCGGAAAGACAGTGTCATTGCGTTGTGGCCGAAACGTCGTGAGAATTATTTTATTATGTTTTATTTTTATTATTTTATTATTTCCCTTCTACATGACTTTACCAAAAGAACCAAGAAGATAATATTATTTTCTCCGGTGATTTCCCCAAAAAGCGCAGCACCGTAATGATTTAAGCTAAAAAAAATTCAAACATGGGCTGAGTCAAATTCCTTAAGCCACTTTCAAACATCGTAGATCTGGCAGATACATCTTTTTTGCCGGCCAAGTGCGTGTTGATGTGTCATCTCACTATTCTTAGGGGGATGTGACTTGTGGACAATAAAAGTGCCTGGGTGTATACATGTGCTGTTTCATGGGGCGGTATTTTAGGTTTTTTGCAGGTGACGCCTGGTCCAATTAAATACTTGACAGCTTGCAGAGAAGAATGCCCAAAATGGACTGCCATTAATTTGCCACTTAACCTTGCAAATTTAAATGTAACTTATTGGTAATGAAAGGTAAAGGTGCAGCCAGGAAATTTCTTGTTCATGCCACTGCTGGTTGAAAAAGCCTCCACTAGAGGGAGCTCTAGAGGGCCCCTCTAGAGGGTGTTTTGGTCTACTCTTCCACGCTGGCCAGACGTCTTGGAAGAGGTGGTAAGTACCCAGAATCCGTATATTTATTTATACTCGAGAAATCCGATGAGCTATGAAGCTCTTTTTCACAGCTGTCCAGTAGGGGTGGGTAAGAACGTTACTACGACAACAATCAATACAAAAGACCGATAGGAGTGCAAAGGTAAACAAATCACCCAAACACACTAAACCATCCCCATCCTACCAGGCAAAGCCCACTGAGGTATTAATACTGGTAGGAACCACTTGGTTCCACCAGCCCACAGAGGATTATTGTGTCCGTCCATCCGTCGTGCATCCAAAAATGGGAGGGGTGGGGCTGGGTGGAGAGGCGAGGGTGGGGAGGAGCTGGATGGGGAGGGTGGGGGTGGGTGGGGAGGGGCTGGGTGGGGAGGGGCTGGTCACCCCGTGGTGCCCTTATAAAACTCAACGTTTAATCTACTCACGCCGGCTTGTGCCCGCCCTCACAGTCGGGCATATTTGCGGAATACACCACGCCGCCGTTGACCCTGGCCATTGACCGAGCAACCCAACGTTCCTACCAGCTCCCTCCGCAGGAATGTGTTACCCCACCAGACGTGACCTGGTGACTAACTGTGGTGTAACCCATTAAAACTGCCAGATGGAAAACAGACGGATAAGGAAAGGCAGATAAATAGACGGCAAATAATAAGCGTATGTTACTGTCGACGTAAAATAAAATATTTAGCCAAATTCCCTGGCAGGGCTCTCCTGAAATGCCATCACACCAGTGACGCCCTTTCTGTGTAAATAGTTATTCTTAATTATGGTCATGTTTTCGCGATCGCTACTTTTCGCATTTTGGCATATGCCACGGCAAGTTTTCCAGGTATTCACGGCAGCTCACCGTCATCGCTGCGGCAACCGGCACGATATTGGCCGAGGGGCGCGCAAGGGGTGGAGCTCCGGACTGTCGCGTTAAGAGGATTGCGTGGAATCGCTGCCATAAACGCCTCGCTTACGGTGGTGGTAGCGCGAATACCACACTTTGCCACGTGAAAAAAGAAAAAATATCTCTAGCAGTGTCGCAGACGTGTCTTCCGATCGGGCAAGTCTCCCTCTTTATAGTCAGACTTATACACCACTTATTTAAGATTAAAATTCCTATATGTTGAATGTATGCACCTTCCTGCCAAAGTAAATTCCTTGTCTGTGCGAACTTTCATGGCGAATAAAACCCTTTCTGATTCTGATTCTTAATTCGATCGCACTTTCCTAACTCGGCAGCGCCGGTGTTTGTTTTTCGTGGCAAACGAGAAGTGCGTTCCCGAGGCATTTGTTTATTCGCCGCGCGCAATCCTGGCGCACAATCCGCACGCACAACGAGCTTACAGTGCTCGCTTGTAAGGCGCCTTTTGAAGAGGGCAGGGATGCATCACGCATTGTGTGCCTCGCTCTCGTTTGGCCGTGACGCGACGCACAAAGGATCGTTCCTAAGAAGAGTCCCGTGGGACGCGCAATATCCGCGGCAGGAGAGGACAGAATGTGAAGGCTGTGATGCCCTCTGTGCCACTGCTATTGCCGTTGTGTGACTTGCAGTTTTCGCGGAGCACGGGTTGGGTTTCTGTTTGGGCGAACTTCGAACCGTTATCAATACGCACGGCAGTTTTTGGCCTAATGTTCACATTCATATCACCAAAAGTGATGTAATGCCTATTTTGTTGTAAACAATCCGATCAGGGCCTTTGAGCGAGCCATCTCAATGCATTCAGTGCAGTTCTCTAAGAAAAGTATCATTTATATTTTAGACAATAAATTCCATACTATGATCAAATTACCTTCACATGTGACCGATTCCATCAGCTCTGAGAAGCTAAGCAGGGTTGAGCCTGGATAGCGATTGGATGGTTGACCACCGTGCACAACAGGTTATAGTATAGGCAGCTGTAGGGCTACGTTATGTGCTATACATCTATGCTTCCATGTACATGCTACCCACCGTCAGAGACGAGCACTGACCAGTGTGGTGAAGTATGGCCAAATCGCCTCCAAAAGGGCTGTACGTGAACACGTGTACATGCCCTGTATTGTGCACGTGTGTGTTTTGCATGTACGAGTACATACATGAATGCTATTGGACCGTAATCCGACCTTAGACGTTTAGCTGAGCCTGACGCGGTTAATAAGGCCCTCTTTTGTGTATAATATCCCATTGAAATCAACATTCCCATGGTACTCGTATTTACATTTTAACACTCAAGAAGAATAACAAACATTTGATTCCCTAGTGGCCAATCCACGTGATGCTGCAATCACGTAATTATTCAGCAAATTCAACTGGGGTTTGCAAAAGAGAAAACATCTATGTCGTATTGCACAAAATAAGGTGCTAATTCTGAGATCCACTCCAAGAAGGGTTGAAATACTCTCCTGCATTTATCCCGAATAACAAGTCAGACATTCAAAACCTTCAAATGCTCGCATTGGCAATTCATGGAGCCACAATGAGCCACTCAGTTCAAGATCACATATGCAGAATGTTTGCAGAGATCATGTTTAAAGGAGCAACAACCCGAAATAGTGGCACGCTTGTTTGGCAAGGAGTAAGTGACAGTCTTAGCGTATTAACAACTTGAGCGAGGAATGCCAAAAGCGTTGTTTGACTAGTGTGGGGACACGCTGAATTACATTTTGCAATTAGTGACTCGGCCCACGTGCTGTTGCAGCTATCTTGCGTGATGACCTGTGCAAAATGCATGAAATAACGGCGACGCAAAAGTAATTTTAAAAGCTATTACGCGCCTTAAATATAACCGGGCCCCGTGTAATGCGATACAGTTTTTGCAACTAATCATAGCGGACATTTATTGTATTTTTTTTACGTAGAGTATGCTAACTATGCATATATTGCGCTCGTAAATAAACAAAAAAGGCCGTGCCTCGAGCATAAAAGCACACGCATCAGCATCGTGTAAATTCTCTGAACGTGCCAGGGTTGGAACAGCAACATAAAAACATTCAACGCTGCTACTAAGCATGGTGAAGTATGTGACACGTTGACATTCTTAACTCGTGGCCCAGGAGCGTGAACGCTGCACCACGAAACCGAAACGCAGCGCGACCATACCTCTTTATTTCTGCGACACAAATCCGTCGTCCCCCCTTGCCTTCTTCGACAGCGGTTATCTGTAATGAAACAACCTCCCCTTTTTTTTTTCACCTTCACTTTTCAAAAACGAGCGCCGAGAGAGAGAGAGAAATGACCTCGACGGCGGCTGCGAGCCTGCCGCGTCTCAGAACCGCAAGAGCGAGTGGCCCCAACCACCTCGCGACACGCGCCACCCCTACCACTTGTTGCCCCTCCAGCAAATCAAACACGAAGGCGCCCGAGACGGTCCCCCGCTTTCGCGAGCAAAGCTACGCGCACAATGTGCCATGCCCCAAAAACTAAAAAAAAATGTTGCGGTGCGGTGCGCTCGGCCGGCCGTGAGTCACAGGGTCTCGTTGCAAAGGCGGTCCCACACCGCTCACAAAACACGCACCGAAAGGCATCGGCCTAAAAATAGCCGGCAACATTTTTGTTTGTCGCTGTTGAGTACCGCAAATGATGCTGCCCCCCTCCGCAGCCCTCCCCTGTCACACGCAGGGCAGGACCGACGTGTTGTGATCGCACCACCTCTGAGACGATGTGACTGGCACAGAGTTGGGGGAGAGATGGCTGGCTGCTACCTTTTCCAATATATTGTGCATATCCCTGAACAGGAGTTGGGGGTGGGGGGGGAAATCACAGGTCGATTTGAAAGCACTCGGGCTTGTTTGTCTAAGCAACAGGGCAGTGCCAAATCTCTGGACTATGTGCGGAATTGTTGGCATCCGCCATACACGGTGCAAGGGCCCACCTCGCTCGCCTTCTTTGGTTCGAACTTAAAGCCTTGTGGGAGTCGTGATTAATAATATCCGCTCGTTAAAAGTGGGCGGCTGGATTTGAAAACGGCCCGGAATGTGAATCCCGCCGGTGGTGTCGTGGACAGTAGACGGGCCACCTCGTGATCGGCTCTCGCTCGAGATGGCGGAGGATTCAACGATTGGAGAGGAGTAGCCGGTGAAGCAAGAATGCTGCACAGAGCCCCACGTCAATGTGTACCTTGCCCTTATTGGGGCCTCGGGGGGGGGGGGGGGGGGGGGGCAAAAAAAAAAGAAAACTGTCAAATATTATGCGAGTCGGCAAAAAAACGAGCGCACCAGACTATACAAGGCGAAAACGATGAAGTGGGTATTCGTGGTGCAGCTTGACGCGGAAAGCAACTTGCATTGCGCGGGGCATGGATCACAACTGAAAACAAGTGATCCAGGAGGCATGTTTGGTGGCCCTAGCAACTTGAAAGCAGAGTTAATGGCAGTGGCGGCTCCTGCAAAATCTCTCAGGGGGGGCAAATGTCTGGATGATTGATAAGGATAAGGTCCACCCATGCAATGAATAAATTAACAGCTTAAGCATGTAAAGGCAACTTCACTTCTTTAATATTAATGAAAAAAAAAGTGACTCTTACAATACATCTTGTTTGTTTATATACTCACTATTAAAACAAACCACTCAAGTTTATTTTATTAAAGATTCCACTAGGTAGCGATAAATTATATTGTTGCCCTCCCGGAAGCCATAGAGAATGCATTGGAGCGCCCCCGTTCGAAAAAAAACATCTTTGAATGTAAGTCTATGGGGCCACTCGGGGCGATTCTCAGCCGGAGTGAAATCGCCCCAAAAGAGGCGGTACTCCACAGAACGTGACATGACGCTGATTGGACTATATCCAGAGGCACAGTGACGGCTAGCGTGACTCTGTGGTTGAATGACATTGGTGGTGCGTCGCCCAATCGCCCTAATGAAGAAACCGCCCCTGGTTAATGGTCCATTGAGAGATAGTAGAGTTGTGATGGATAATGTGTAGATCGAGCTATGACAACCACATGCATAAAAAACAATAAGGTCGAGAGGTTTTTGAACTTCATATTGATGGGAAGCATATGATGTGGTGGGGATTATACTCGGTTGTAAATTAAATCTTGGATCTCACTTTCTGGGTGAATATAGATTTTTTTTTGTTTAAATGATGGGACTGATTTCACTGAATTTGACAATCAAACAAGAACAAAGCTTACGATGTGCACATTTTTTTGTTTGGCTGAACTGGCGCCAACAACAATTCCCGCACGTACAATCGAGAGAATCTGCTCAAATTATGGGCCCCGCTGTCCAGATTTGAATTTCAGAATGTCAGCGAGTGCCCCTCCTGTCGCCCCGTCGCAACCCTGTCCCGCCAAGAGCCGTGGCAAACCCACCACCACTTGCAAGCGTTTTTGCAAATCCACGTTAAAATATGCGCGGCGTGGGAAGGAAGTTATCGTCGGAGATTTAAGCGTTGGCAAAAAAGCCGCCGCTACAAAACACGTCGAGGGATAATACAACAACAATAACAACAAAACTACTACTCTGTGCCCGTCGTCAGGAATTCTGTAGACGTTATACAGCTTTGAGAGGGAGAGGTCTTTAAAAATAAAATGTTTCTCTCAAAGTGTGAAGCGCCGCACGTTTTTTTTTAGTGTACATTCTTTCAGCCCTTTGAAGAGCGGAGGAGCGGCTTCCTTTCATTTACGCCGTACAGCGCTGCCTCAAAAAAAAAACGCGGGCGCACGCTTCAAACGCTCGCACAATCCCAAATGACTGCTCGTGCATAGCGTGCATTGAGTTTGCGATGCATGCATTTTATGTCCTGTTCAATGTTGCCCTGTCATTGGACGCTGAGCGGGTTAAAACGTAATTTTTCAGAGCCAACTTACATTACAGGACATTTTCTATTCAAAATACTGATTTATGATTGTGCGGTATTTTTAATTTCTCCTCGACCGTGATTGACTTTGCTGTAATTTTCTATTTGCTTCACTGCTGTACTTATTATCATGTTCTATTTTGTTTGCCATTTTTGGTAACCCCAGGTTACACCTGCAAATGAGACCATCCTGGTCTCTTGAGTTCTCACCTGATAGAAAAAAAGTAGAAACTTGAATTTTGATCAGCACTGCTCTGTCCTAGGTGAATTGTGTATGAGTTGGTCATAGAGCGCTTATGAGTATTAGAGAAGCAGCGCTCCAATTCTTGAGAGCTTGAGCTCGATCCTGGCCTAGTTTGACTGAGCACATCATCTCTCTTTGGTCAATAAAACGATGAGCACCTCGTGGAGGCTATCCTGCTCGGTGGGATGTTCAACAGTTGGCGCACTGCTGTAACATATTTGTAATCGGCTTGGGGCTCAGCAGAGGCCTTCAAACAGCAGCGGATAGACCATGGCTACTGCAATAATGATTACATTGGTGCGCGACCCAAGCTTATCCTTTGCAATAACTCTCGTCGTAGCAACACATAGCTGCCGTCACGAGCATTTGTCCAGCACACACCTAGACACACCCATTCGCTTGAGTTTGATCAAGGCCTCTGGGAGGCATGACTGGAATCCATCTGCATTAAGGTCACCAGTTAATCTTACAAGAAAAGCGAGCCAACATTTAAGAGGCTTTCAGATAGGGCCCTGTGCAGACAAAACTGTCAGTCATGCTGCTCGCCCCGTGCTTTTTTTTCTTCTTCTCCATTTTGTTTCTACTGGCCTCATGTCAGCAAAGTCGACAAGTTATTTTAACCTGTCGGCTTCTCGAGTAATCGATCGCGTGCATTTCTTTCTCCTGTTTTTTTTATATTTATGTAAAGAGGTATGTGAGATTTATTTTTGAACGTTTAGCCTAAAACCCAATGTTAACTAACCAAATTGTATCTAATGGAGTTTTTAAAAATACCTCATTCCTATCACCAGCCATGGTCTATTCACTGTCGGATGAAGGCCTCATCCTTGCCATGATGCAGCATTAATAAAAAAAAAACATCTATTTGATCAAAATTCTTGATGGAATTGACATTTTTTCCCCACACTCATTTGGCTGGCGTGCGAACACATTTACGCAACAATGTTGCCACATGAACCCAAATTGTATTGTATCGTGTAATTGCCCTGCAGCCGTGTAAAAAAAAAACAGAGCTGAGCTTGCACACGAACTCAGCCTTTCCCCCCCCTAATCCCTACGAGGTTACATGCCCGAGCTTATAAATACTGCCGCCTGTATGAAATGAAGCAGTATAAGTTTGGGGAGGGGGGGGGGTTCACTAAGTCATACTGGCTATGGCGTGCTCTCTCTCAGATGCCTAAGCGGCACATTTGTGGCCCGGTCACGCACTGCACGCACTGAACGAGGCAAGTAGCGACGTGTACCGGCACTTGTATGTCGTCCCACCTATAAAGATAATGTGCCGTAGGGACACTATTAAATGACCACCCGCCTCCCCTTTTAGGGGGTGGCACACATCTGCTATCTTTGGAAAGTATGAGATCTCATCATGCCACTCGTAGTAGTAGTAAAAGAGATCATTGATCAACACCGCAAGTACATTTGTCCACGAACAAACGATTCAGTCACCAAAAAAATACCTCCGAAACGAGTGACTAGAAACAGAGCGCTAATGAACGCGGGCGGTTCTCCTAAAACTATTCGTTTATTTAATTATAATACGGGAGTTGTCTTTTGGAAGCGAGTCAAAAAATGTTGCGTCAAACTTTAACGCACCGCCTCCCTTTACTCCAACAGAAAGCTTACGGCGATCATGCGGAACACCATCATTCTCTGGACAACGACCTTGTCCATGGTAAAAAATATCATCATCATCATCGTAAGGAAAGCAAAATAAGTTACAGTGCTGTTGTTTTAATTCGCAGGAGCAGTGGTGCAAGTGATCATCGCACTGCACAACCAAGTCGACGAATTCCCACCTACGGTTTCACATCAGTGGTGAGTGACATCTGCACTGGTTCTGGAAGTTTCCCCTTCGCCAACCCCATCCTGGCCAGCGAGGTGAAGTATAGTCAAACCACCCTCACGACCATCACGGCATAGGACACCTTAATCTAGCATATTATGGTTCAACCAATCCAGGTAAACACTATAAAATGGCACGATTCGTGCACGGTGATAAAGTATGTGTAAACAGCGTCTCTCCCACTTTTGCCAATGCCTGCCGCTGACTGACGATTAGCGACACGTGGCGCAATTGATTTCCCTGTTTTTGGTTACATAGGCCGACTCGAATGTGCTTAGTTAAGAATGTTACAATTTAGGTGGGGGTGGGGGAAGAGCTTGCCAAAGTTCACTGCCCATTTATGACTGCAAAGTGTGTTTGTCTGTCTCAATGAATAATATTATTTTTGAGATTATAAATCCACATAGTGCTTCCCACCACAGGTGCACCCACGCCAGACAATGCAAGTGCAATACATGGGGTTTAATGATGCGTTGATTCATCAA